TTCCCACCTACGACCCCTGTGAGCTCAGGGATGCACGGACAATGAGTGATCAAATGCATGCCAGGAAAGCCAGGCTCCTGGGCTCATCCGTCCCAGCAGACACGGGACAGGCTCTCCACTTGGGTTCCATGAGCAGGACGGCCCGCCCCGCCACCAGACCACCCAGCGTGGGCCTTGTGGATGGGCAGGCTGTGAACTCTCCACTCCTCTGTGCCACCAGCTCGGCTCCACCCTCCTGCTTGACTCGGCTTACCCAAGTCTCTGTCCGTCTGGACTGAGCAGCTTGGGAGTACTGTGCATCCCAGCACCTGAGTCCTCACCAGCTCTGCAACTGGGGCCACGTTCTTCTCTAACCACCTGGAGTGGCCAGTGTCAAACTTGTCTCAGCCCTACTGCCCGATGGAAGTCCTGAAGCCACACTAACCCCGTCGCTCCCCATCACCACCCGCAGATGATTGTGACACATCATGTGTGATCTGAGTTCATATTTGTAATCTAGACCGGAAAATGACCTGCATGCCAATGGCTTACGGAACTTGGCAAATGCTGGTGCCGGCTGGCACATGGGAAATGATAGTGTGGGAATTGTTAGTACATCCTGACGCCGTGGAAGGACACCGGCTGCCCGTCTACAGGCCTTCTGGAGCTGGCTGATGACCAGGAGCAGCGAAGGAGACATTCACCGCGCACTCTGCCTCCCCAGCCCTGTGGGACCGTCTGTCCCCAGGGGAGGCAGGAGTGGCGGGAAGGTGCATTCTGCTTTCAGGCCGATAGGGGGAGACCGAGAGCCATGTCTGCTTTTCCTTCCCTTCAGCTCCCACTGGTCTTTGAAACCGCTGGCTTCTTTTCCTGGGTGGCGTCTATAGATCGACTCCAAACACAGCCTGCAATGATTTTCCAGAGAATCGATGAGTCCTCCCTGCTCCTATCAGGCAAAGCCATCGATTTCAGGGGTTCTTCTGAAGGGGGTGGGGTCGCCGTTGCCATGCCTAGTTGGGCTTGCTGAGGAAGTGCAGTCAGTCTCGGGCTTTCCAGAGGCTTCTCCCAGGCTGGAGGAGGGGAGCTGCCTCGGGAACCAGGGCTGAGCATACTCAGGGTTCCCGGAGTGCAGGGGTGCCCTGTGAACACCCCTCCTTGGTGGGGATTGCTCTCACACCTGCACATCCGCCATCCTGTAAGCAAAGAAGGCAGGGCTCAGCTCTGGCTGGGCAGGCAGCCTTGGGGGGTGCGGCTGTTCCCGGGGCCCAGGGATGATGCCACCCCGCCCTCCTCAGAGGAGGGTGCATGCACTTGGTCCCGTGCTGGCTCTCCTGCCAGCTGGCTGCGTGGCCGGTGGGTGGTGGGATTGGCCTATGGGCCTGACGAAATGATTTGGATGGCTCCAAAAGATACAGATAAACACACGTCTACTTACTATGGGAAGACAGAAAGTCACGTTTCCTTTACCCTCTTGTGCTCGGTACTGGGGGTCTGCAGGTTAATCAGCTCAAGGCAGACTAGCAAGAGCACAGATGAGTGTGGGAGACGGCGGAGGGAGGAGCTGGCCCATCAATCAGCTAGAAGGTTCCATGTCTGATCTAGTTGGGAAAGGTGAAGAGGGGGAAAATCCACATGGGAAGAGCAAATTGCTGTCTTAGGAAAGCAAACAAGTCTTTAGAAGAGCAGATAGGAGCTGGATTTTGTGACCTTTTTTGCCTATGCATGTGTGGATGCTTTGTCTGTCTTCTTCAAGGTCCTAAAGCTCCCTTTGTCAAGGACATTTTTTGAGTATTTCCATTCCCCTCTGGGAACAGATCTGCCCCAAAGAGGAGTCTACGGCCGCCTCAGAGTTATGCTTCTTCTAGTCACATAAGAAAAGATCTTTTAAAAAATTTTAAAATTTCCCCAGTAGTATTGGTGATTGAACTCTAGGCCTCATGCTTACTAGGTAAGTGTGTTTACTACTTGAGCGATGTCTCTAGTCCTTCTGCTTTTAGTTTAGTTTTTTTTTTTTTTTT